GTACACCTGGCCGGACAAGTTGTTTCTGCATTGCTGTGGTTGCTGTGAGGGCGGATCGGTGATTGTTTGTAGTGAGTTTTGCTCCCTACATGAGTCCACAATTAAAAAAAATATTTGTTTACCCTCATTGCGCATGCGCGAGCACCGTTTCAGGCGTGCAGTACGACCTAAATAATAGTACGGTAATATTATACGATATGTATAATAGATATACGAATGTACATAGGCCAGTATCTACCATATAGATATCAATCGCTACTTGGGAGCTAGCGAGCGCGCGCGTACTAGCCTTACATATTACAAGTATCACAATATTACATGTGCAATCAGTTCATGCTTGTAGGATCGGATATGGAGTGACAAGATTCTGAAACTCGAGACTAGCAAATCGATCCTTTCAATATCCCCTACCTAAGGCACCTAACAGCAATACAGTAATAACCCGCGTATAAGAACATAGATTTTTCCAAGTTAGCCTCAACATGTTCTTATATAAATGGTGCTTACTGAAAAATTAGGCTCAAAAGGTTCTTAAATAGGTTCTTAATTGTTTCTACTTTTAATATGTATAAGCTTATACTTGATTCAAATTGTGTTGAAATTTTCTTACAATAACTGCAATTTTTGCTAATTAATACCCATGATGGGCTACAGTGTAAGTTTTTCAGTGCTTGTTTGATAATATTTTACATTTGCAGATATATGTAAATAATGCAGTACTGTGTCTCAATAACAATGCCAGGGTGCTGGCACATTCATCGATATTGTTGAGCTCGTCTTTTTTATTTTACCTGTGTTTNGGAACGTCAACCATGTGTTTGTATAATATCAGGAGTAAGATAATATAATAATATCCTATATTATCTTACTCTCATAATATCTATGGTACAACCATAGAAATAGTATAGATAGGTTATATCATTTAAAATTATATTATTTCTATGATACAACCTCATAAATACAGTAAAAACCCGCGTATAAGAACCTAGATTTTCCAAGTTACCCTCAATAGGTTCTATATAAATGTGTTTACTGAAAAATTAGCTCAATAGTTCTTGTTTCTACTTTTAATATGATAAGCTAACTTGATTCAAATTGTGTTAAAATTTTCTTACACGAGTGCAATTTTTTGTGCCATTAATACCCATGATGGGCTACAGTGTAGGTTTTCAGTGCTTACCCAATACTGTATGATACAGTATGTATCCAAGGAAACAAACCACATGCAAAAAGATGCGTGCCAAAAAGCTATACGATACAGCCAAGAGCAAAATGTATACAAGTCTACCAAATTTAATAAATCGCTATAATGCTGGCCACGGAAGGGCCTTGAGATCCCTGTCACTATAGGTTGGTTGGAGATAGGGGTTACTGAAGAGTTTCACAAGAAACTTCAAACCAAAGAATTTGCTGAAGAACTCAGTATTGCACGAAGGTCGTTGTTCGTAACAGTACTACAAATATGTACCCGAGGTAGTTTTAGTTGTTTAGTATTATGTTATATTTTTATATGAGATATTTTAGGGTAGAGTTAGGTTAGTTGTTTAAGGTTAGGGTACACTCTTAGTACAAGTCTGGTACAGTTTTGTGTATACATATATATATGTTACCTCGGGTACATATCTGTAGTACCTGTTACGACAACGACCCCTGAGCCTCAGTATGCTGATAAGTCTTCATCTGCCATGGAAAATTAAAACCTACTTTAAAATCTTAGCCTAAAACAGGTACTTATGTAAAGGGGTCTAAATGGAAATTTTAGCCTAACAGGTTCTTATACGCGGGTTTTTACTGTAGTAATCTTTATCTTACTGTAGACTACTATATCTATACTTAATATCTATACTATTTCTATGGGTACAACCATAGAAATAATATAGATAGGTTATATATAATATTATCAAGAATTATTAGCTCTTGATATTATTTCTATGGGTACAACCAATACAGCGCCAAGATGAAGTTCGTGCCTGCGGTGCAATATAACAATGGAAGGGTCTATTTGAACAATATATGCTTTTATACAATAACTATACACACGCACGCTATGACGCTATGTTACGGGTTTTATCGACGGATTACGTGACTGTCATGGTCATAGTACAGTAACGGTAGCAACCTCTATCAAGTTTGGTACCGTTGTCATATCAAGTTGGCTGTATTCCCCGTATTCAAATTCAACCACTGCTTTTAGAGTTTATCTAATCAACGACGTACAAATATCTATCTTCTCGTAGTAAAACGCATAACCATATACGTAGCCTGGATTGATCTAGGGTTATAATTTTGGTAAAATGTAATAGTCCCCCAAATGAATATACCCCAAATATTCTCGAGTTAATTTATTTACATTGTGAACCGATCGATGTACGCATCTTTAGTTGCGCAATTTTTGGCATATAAACTATATGTGACCTAATTATCTCGTCTCACGTCGTATTCTCATATAAAATCTACATATATACTACTACTATATACGTACATATAGTGCCAATATCATGTATCTTTGTATGCTAGTTATATTGTAATTCTAATATCGTAAATTTGTTTTACAATAATCTTCATTTCGGAATACAAAAAGATTTAGTTTCAGACAAAAACGACCAAATACTTTATACACTAATTTAATTTTGTCTTGATTTTAATATGGACAAATATTTTTGTCACAAGTCGAAACTGTTAATCTACTTGTAATATGTTAAAATTAACATACATGTAATAATAGTATACTAATTTTGTCTGATAATCTACAATATCGCGGGTATAGGCGTTCGACAATGCAGTGGAAAGGGCGGGAAAAGCGTCTTTCCGGCTCACTAACCATGGTGTCAGTGACTATAGGGCGGTACTAATATCGATACTGATTTGGGCTTTCAAACAAATTCAAATTTGTACATATTTAAAGTATGAGCAAAAAGTACATTGTATGGTAAATGAGTATATGGTTCTTACGGGGAAAATTTTGGGCTTCGCTCATCTCTCTTCTTTCTTTGCTTCTTCTCGCGAACGATCTTTTGAAGCAATATTTGAACGATTGTTCATTCTGTAAGAAAATGTTACGTGTGCATTGTGATACTCGGTAACCGTACACATTTTTACTCTGAACATGTATTATGACAGGTAGCTAATCGCTGATGGGCTAGCGTGAAAGTCGCCAGACAGTACTAGTGTATAGGGGGATAGGGCCGCCTACATTACATTGCATAAAATTAGAACCCCTACGTCATATGCAGCGTGACACGAGGGTCGGCATCAAATACTTCAGTGCAAACACTTCAAGCTTTGTCATTATTAATCGAGCGTAGATTAGACCGATATCAGGAGCTTATAAATGGAATTTCCATTTATAAGCTCCTGCCTATATGATTAGATAATATAAGCAGTGTTTTTTGTATTCTTATGATAAATGTTTAATTAGATATAAACAAAACAATGTCTGTCATTTGTATTGATGGATTTTATATTCAGTTAATTTTATTCAGATTAAAATTCACGTAGGAAATAAAATGTCCCATAAATATAAATGTACAGTATATAGAAACACATATCCCAGTAAGTATAGATATAGTGCTGACATGAAATTATTGCAATTGATTATAAATGAATATCTACTTCTAATTATTAATACTTTGTGCAATTTCTGAAAAAAAGGTGGAGACGTGTGGAGTCAAGAAATAGCTAATCTAATTACTAAAAGTATTCTTGGCAGCAAAGTACATGATGGATATTGTCATGTTTTCCTAAAGATAAGCATCAAATCAAAAATAGTGTAAATAAACACTAACGACCACAGGCGCAATACTGCCAATAGCCGCTGCAACGACTTATCTAATTATTCTTTGTTTGTTAATCAACAACACACTTATTGAATAAATAACTTCGATAAAAATATAGCCTATAGGACTACACAGTATCTCGTATTAAAGAATATATCTGATGGTCTCTTCAGATTCAAGACATTTCAAATTGGGTCTACTAGTTTATTAAATTAATAAAATAAATTAAGAATACAACAGATTATAATATATTATATAGTATTAGTAATACTAATAGTAGTACTAGTAGCACGATGCCGTTATTGGCGTCAAAACCATGTATAGCCTATCGCAATCGCATGCGCTTGGACCGTTCAAATAATATAATGATGAATTGCAAATCAATGTAGAAAATCATTTCTGGGAAGAAATGGTGGCCCTGAAAAGGGCCGGTTGGTTCACTGATACAGGCACTGATGACCATTTAATGGGCCTTGGCAGTCTTCTTTGGCAGCAGGACAGCCTGGATGTTGGGCAGGACACCTCCCTGGCTGATGGTGACTCCGGAGAGCAGCTTGTTCAACTCCTCGTCGTTGCGGATGGCCAGCTGCAGATGACGTGGGATAATTCTTGCCTTCTTGTTGTCACGAGCAGCGTTACCGGCCAACTCGAGCACCTCAGCGGTCAGGTACTCAACGACGGCAGCCAGGTAGACGGGAGCTCCAGCGCCAACCCTCTCGGCATAGTTGCCCTTGCGAAGCAGACTAGTACTAGTAGCACGATGCCGTTATTGGCGTCAAAACCATGTATAGCCTATCGCAATCGCATGCGCTTGGACCGCCTATTAGTATTACTAATACTATATAATATATTATA